CTCCAGGACCATCCTGTCTTGTTTGTATTAGTGAGACATGCTAAGGTGCAGACTGACGCATTAAAATGCTGCTTAATTTAGGGCAGTCCGCTAATTAGGAATTCATTACCATTTTATCAGGGCCCAGGCTGAAATTTATTTACCTTGTCAGTTTAATCTTATGGGAGAGAGAAAGGAAGGCCAAGGTGGAAAGAGGAGGACTGCATGGTCTGGCCCACTCTGTACCCAGAGCTACTTTCCTGAAGGGAGTGAAACTGGCTTTGCTTCATATTAAGTAGTATACAACTGACAAAACTCGAGCATGTCAAGAGTGCTATCACATTTATTAAAAATAAGAAATCAAGACATCCTTTTCATGTCTTTCAGCCTCTGGATACTTTTTTTCCCTGGGGAACAGAGAGATCCCTGAATAAAAAGATCTCACCAACTCCATAAACTTGGTGGTTATACAAAACCCATTTTTTTCCGCGTATGTCAGACACACCCTTCTAGTTATAGGAATTCCACATTTCCCTCTTTAAGCTTCAGAGCTAAAGACTGAGTTTGTTACTAACTTTACATACACCTTCCATGATCTTCTGCTAAGGAAAGGAGGAGCTTGGAATTTCCTCCATAAAATCTTTAAAATTTTCTGAGCATGTAACAGAGAGATTATAGGAGAATTGAAGGTTAGAATTAAAGTTAAGCCTCATGTGAACATAGTTTTGATGGGTATCTCAGAAATTCCTAGCACAAAGCTTTAGAGGGGAAGAGAGAAGAACTTTAAGATACAAAGTTTGCAGAGTCATCTCCTGTGAATTCCCCAGCATGTGCTTTCTCTACATGCTTGTGACCTCCAGCCTCTCACCTTTGGTAGATGCTCCCACCTCCACCTTAGAAGGGTGCCAGGTGGAGGAGACTGGAAGTGAAGGGCCCATCCTGGTCACCCACTTACAGAACTGGATGGCGTCAGGCAAAAGGGGAAGGCAACAGCAGAGGAGGAGCTGGTTAGACAGCATCACCAGATCAATGGATATGAATTTGCGCAAACTCCAGGAGATAGTGGCGGACAGAGGAGACTGGCATCCTGCAGTCCATGGGGTTGCAAAGACTTGGACACAAGTTAGTGACTGAACAACAACAAATGGGCTTTGACTATCTTTTCTATAAAATTGTGAAGAATAAATACCCAGTTTATCAGGACTATTTTGGAGATTAAATTAAATCCTCAAATTCTCAGGATCTGTAATGCAGAATAATAGTAGCCTGAAATATCCTAATGGTGAAATGACAGGGAAATGCTATGTACTTCATATTAGTACCATCAAGTGTCTGAGGAACTCTACAATACTAGACATCCATTTAGTTCTCTTAACCTGTGCTGGGCAATGCTGAATAAGCAGGTACAAAAATTAAGCACTCCCTTGCCATCTCCTTATTCTTACCATGGAACCTAAGTTCCTGACTTGGAGTACAGAGTGAAGGAGCTGGTATCACTGCAAGGGAGGCAGGGCGGAGAGATCTTGCCCACACCAGATTAGATCAAGTCCTGCAGGGATTCTAGGTCAAAATCATTCCAGAGCTCTGGATGGATGGTGACTGTCAAAGTCTTTTAAGAAACATTTTCCCTGCAGGTAATCCCTTATGAATAACAATTTTAAAAAGTCTATTTGCCAGCAGGGTGAGAGTGACAGAACTTAGGTGAAGAAAGCATCTTTCAGTTGTATTTAGAATGCATTAGAAGTAGTTAAACTCCTCTTTTCAGTGAAGAGAAAGGCAGAAAGTATGGTTTTCCTGGCAAAATGTTAGGCATGTGAAAATTTTTTCCCTAGTAATGAAGAAAAGAAAATGCCCTGGAACATGACTATAGAAATAGAAAGCAAACACCAAGTAAAGGACTGATCATGGTGTCCTTAGCAAATAAATGAATGAATAAATAGAAAACCACATGAGAGAAGATAATAGACTTCAGTATTGTTTGTTTGTGAAAGAACGGATATAATTCCTTTTGGCCAATCACACAGGCAAATTAGAAAATTTGATAATCAAGCATTGCAGTTGTTTTTATATTCATGGCATCAGTTCAATTAGGCAAATTTGGGAATGCCTGTTTTAAGAAACTGATCCAAAAATAACCTTGTGAAATATAGTTAGAGATACATTATATGCCCTGAGGGCAGCAGGAAGTGAAAGGGAAAAATATGAATTAGAAAATGACCTATAATAGTCCCTTCATTGGTAAAGGTGATATAACTTCCATTACCAATCAGGACCTAGTTTGATGTCTAATTTCACTGGCTGTCTAATGTATCAAATTAAATTAAGTACAAATGAGAAAATACTTGGTTAGGGTAAAAAAGTACTATTCCATTTTGCTTTCTCTCGACTGAAAACCAAACCAAGTAGCATGGACAAGGAAAAAGAAGCTCGAATATTTTATTGGAGAAGGAGTTAAAGGGTTTTACCCCCAAACTGACCTGGCAGAAGATAGCTGGCAAAAAAAACACTGGATTTCCTGCTGCTTGTTGGTGGTGGTGGTGGTTTAGTCGCTAAGTCGTGTCTGACTCTTGCGATCCCTTATTACATATCCAGAATAGGGAAGTGGTTTTGTTGTTGTTTTCATTTATGCCACTAATATTTGAGTGCTGATTATGTGCCAGGTTCAGGTCATTGCTGTATGGGATAAACAATGCCTCCTCCCTGCTCTGGGCCTAATGCTTTGGCATCATTCTCCTTTCACAGTTTGTAGAATTAGCGGAAGAGTTTGTTGGATAGTCCATTACTCTCTGTAGATATTTGAAGACAAGAGTCCCTGGCAGGAAACCCTCCCCCACCAAGGCTGCATCCAAAGCATCTCTAGTCCCCGGTGTATCCCACAAGTAACTGGCAAATAACCATGAGGCAGAAGCTTTCCAGACCCTTTGGTTTGCCCTTGTGCTAAAATATGTCCTGAATAAATGAGAACTTGAAGATACAAGGCAATTGTGAAGCAAGGGCACCAGAGGTTGTGAGAACTGTAAAAGAGAAGCTCTGCACCGCAGTCTAGAAGGCTGCTGGTCCCAGAGCAACAGATGGAGGCAGCCTTCTCCATGGATAAAAGTCTGACCAGGGCAAGTTACAATCCTTCCCTGGGCCCCAGTTTTTCTGCCAAGAAATGAAGGCTGTGGAAAGAGATGCTTCTTATTCGGATGCTCTTTGTTTTTCTATGCAGTTCACTTGCTTCTTCAGCATTCGAACTTCTCTTCTACACAGTAGACACTATGGGAAGGAAGGTGATGATTTTTTCCTAAGAGATTCACACACACAGAAAAGGAATTTTACAAAGAAATCCTTCATCCTTCCTCACTTGCACTTTGTTCTCCCTTTCCCTTGCTTTTGCTCAGCTGGCACCCGCTTGCTCTCAATTTCTTTTTACAATCTCTTCGTTCCTGGTGTGACAGCATGTCTCTGGGAGCAGGTGCCAGCTGGAACAGTCTTTTAAAAACATTTCTCTGCTGTATCAGTCTTCATCTTCAAGTGGGTCCTCTTTCTTCTAGCTATACCTTTAAATCTTCCCCCACCCCTACTTTGTGGATCTGGCCTCCCACCTAAATCTGGGTCCTTCTGTTCTAAATTTCGCACACATTATTTGGGAAACACATTATTCTGCAAAACTGTTTCTATATAGTATTTGGATGTAAAATGCCAGTTGTAGAGAAGTTGTTCTCTCTTCTGTTAATCATTTACTTTTCTTAGTAGATATATCCCCACTGATATGTGGATTATTATGTATCTAGGCATAATGACAGCTGTTAGAGGAATAACATGTAATACATTTCGGAACTTATGTTTTAGACTGATGGGGAATATGGATACTACTTTAAAAAAATCATATTTTAACAAGACCCTTACAGAGAAGGAATGTGACATATCCAATGTATCTATGTCTTTTGCTACATTTAGCTCTACATGGGATACAGTAATACACCTTTTCTCTTCATATGAACTTTTCCTCCCATTAGGTCTTATCAGTAATATATAAAATATACAAATCCTTTTCATTAAAATATTTATTTCTTCCCTTAGAAAAAGAAATCAAAAATTTTTAGGCCTAGTTTTAAAAAGCAACATGTTCTCGGTAATTTATTTTGGTGGTTGTTTTTAGGGATGTGAAAAATATCACCACTGCAACTAGCAAGAACTATAAATGATACATTATTGCAAGTGTTCTAAAAAATCAGAACAAAACTAATTTATTATAGTTCTGTCTTCATTATACACCACATGTTGGTGAGTTAAACACAACAAAATTATTGTCTTTTTTTTAAAAGTGTCTACTAAAGATAAAAAGAATAAGGTATCAATTAACATGTAGTTTGTTACATAAAAAATCTGATATACATATTTCTATTGCCTGTTAGCTTGTTCTAAGCCTTTTAACTATTACAAAAAGAAAAATTGTTGTTCAAAAGCAAACATTCAATTCAGTTGATACAACATTACAGTACAGTCAACTAACACCATTCAACAAAGGTAACAAGTCTAGCCTTAGCTTCTTGAGTTAAAAGTCTATAGACCAGATTGCTACAAAAGTTTCAATGCTGCTTCACAACCTGTGTTAGCTTTTTGGAGGACATGGTACTGTCTGCTGATGGCTTCAGAAGAAGGGGTCATGCTACTGGTAAAAGCACAGGGGAACCCCAACCTGTCATTAATCATTTTATTGAGCATTGTAGTTAGAACAGCATTATTGAGTTTAGCACAACAACTAAAACAAAATAATAATAATAATATAATAATCATAATCATAATAATGATAAGAATAAAAACCAAACACAAACTGGAAGCCTAGAGACGCTGCCAGCTGTGTCAAACCCTTGCGATACGCTATACTAAAAAAATTTGAAATATCCACCCGTCCTCTCCACTCTGCCACAAACTAGCAAAGTCAAAAATACAAAAGTCTTCAACTTGTTACTTTTGCAGAATAAAGCAAAAACGTCTTTGTGCTCCTTACTACCAGAAGCAAAATATCCACTGAGTTACCACATGTAATAGCTTCTGGATGTGTCAACTTGGGTTGGCTTGGAATCTGCAATAACATCTTTGTCTTTCTCGCTGTCACCTTCCCAGAGGTTAATGAGCGGTGGGTACAGCTCATTTAGTGGGATGGAAGAGGTTTTTTGCATATACTTTTTTAATGAATGATGGTAGTTCTTCCTCTTAAATCTTTTGGCAATATACACAGCAATGGACGCAAGGCTAATGACGGCAAACATGGACCCCATTACTGCAGCAAGAGCTGTACTGGTTTCTTGATCAGAAATGTCCAGCGCGAAGGCAGCATTTTTGGTTGTGACGTTAACACATGACTTTTGAGTCTGCTGATGAATATTGGACACTGTGAGACACACTTCATAATCTGTGGAAGGCTGCAGATGTGTTAGGTTGTATTCGTGAACATCTACCGGGACCCTGGCAGTATATGTTATGTGGGGGTTGTCAATCTTCATGGTGGCAGATGACCATTTTAAGTTTGACGTCATGACATTGGAATTGACTTTCCAGGACACTAAAATGGAATGAGATTCTGTCTGCTTGACATATATTTTCAGCACCTGGGTACCATCCAGAAGGGTTCCATTAACCTTAATCATCACCACTCGAGTGTCTGCCCCTTCCACATTCTGGGCAACACACGTGTATCTTCCTGAGTCTTCAATCTGTATTTTAGATATTTCCAATGTACCTTCACTACTTAGCTTATATTTATCTGAAAGGGTTTCCACAGTTATCTTATCCCCGAGGGGAGTGACCCAGTATATTTCAGGTTCCGGCTCAGCCATGGCCCGACAGTCTAGGAAAACCGTTGTGCCGATGTCCATGTTTAAATGATTTGGAAATGTGTCATGAGATATCATTGGGAGGCACTGCTCACTGGAATCCTGGATTAACACTTCCTTTACCTGTTGCCCTCTGTATTCAGGCGGCATGGCGCAGAACATAGACAAGGGCTCCATGAAGCGGATGTTTGTCTTGTTGGAGTTAATCCAGTGGATGACACAGTCACACCTCAGGGGATTGCTGTGAATACTGATCTCACGCAGATTAGGAAGCGACTCAACTGTCTTTTGATAAACGGCATTCAGAGCATTGTTGTTCAACATCAAGCTCTCTAGGGCAGGAACACTTCGAAAAGCCAAGCGGTGGATGTAAGATAATTTGGGGTTATTGGTAGCTTCTAACTTTGTGAGTTCAGGCAAGTTATCCAGGGCATAGCGATCCACAGAAACGAGCTCCCCCATATTGTTGATCCCCAGTTCTTTTAACCGAAGCATATTTTTGAAGTCCCCTTCCTGGATTTTGTGGATGGGGTTTTTGTTGAGGTCTAAGAATTTCAAGTTAGGAACTTTTTGCAGGGCAAGTTGAGGGACTTTGACCAGTTTGTTATCATAAAATGACAGACTCTCGAGGCTATCCAAGCCCACCAAGGCATTTCCAGGAATATCAGTGAGATACATTCCAGCCAAAACTAAGCTTCTCAAATTTGAGAGAGGTTTGAAGTTCATATCCAGAATTCCAATCACGGGGTTTTCCCCAATCATGAGAATTTCCAGGTTGGGTGTGGAATCAAACCAGCGGCTATCGATCACTTTCAATTTGTTGGAGTTCAGGTGGAGCCTTAAAAGGTTTTTTAAGCCTGAAAAAGCATTAGCAGAAATAGTGCTAATCTGGTTATGGTTGATGTAGAGTTCTTGAAGGTTGCTGAGGTCTTGTAGACAATAATCATTCATTTCCGTAATCTGATTTTCCTCCAGATGTAGAGTGGTGAGCTGGGTCAGGTTCGCCAGCCCAACCTCCTTAACATTTGTAAAGTTGTTCTGGGAGAAATCTAGCTCCGTCAGGTTGAAAAGCTGCTGCAGCTCGTCCGCAGTCTTGGCGATGTTGTTGCTCTGTAAGAGAAGCACTTGGGTATCGCTGGAAAGGTTGCTGGGGATCCTGGTTAAGCGGAGGTCATTGCAGTCGACAGTGGCGGCTTCTCTGTACGTTGACTGAGGGGTGAACCAGGGCCTAACTTCACACACACAAAGTTGTGGACACTCACTACTTTGGAGGGAAGACCCAGTTAATGAAGTCAGGAGCAAGCTCAGCACCATCTGGTAAGCTGCTAAAACAAAGCTCATCCTAGCCATGCTGGCTTGCCAAGCAAGTTGAACTCCTGACAATTGTTAAGTTTTAGCAAAACACGAGCACTATATAGTGGTATGAAAGACAGCAAGCAAAAAATGTAAACATTTAAGCAAAGTCTCTGTTGAAAGCTGTAGAATTCCAGAGTCTGAAGGGATGATTTCCTGGAGTTTCAAAAGGCAGGACGCAATCTGGAGTCTCTTTACCTGTGTCTCTCAATTCCAGGTATGTGCACAGCTCTATGGCATAAGTTATTTCAGCCCAATCAGAGTCTGGAGATGTGCCTGAAAATCAGATTAGGACAAATGTTATGTTTACTCCACATACATTCCACATTAGAGCTTTTCTTTGTCTACTAAAAAGACAATCACTTATAAATCTAATAGTGTTCAAAGTAACGAAATAAGCTTTTAATTTATAGAATACTTTTAATATATTATTACACTTACTAAACTAGTTTTAGTGTTCCTTCACTTTTACAATTAAGTTGGGACTTCTTGTATTATTGAGTGAAATCATTAAACACACAGGTACACACACACACACACACACACACAATAAAAACACTTCGAAAAGCCCACAGATATCATTTCTTTCAAGATGAAGGTGACTTTAGAAACTATACATATTTGTGGCTCAAAAAAAACTAAAAGATCATTCCTCATAAAAGCAAAGCATGAAAGTCAAAGTTCATTTTTAGTTATTTGTATTTTAATTGATTCTTCATTTGTTTTCATGAATTCTTTCTTTTCCAAATGGTAGACATATTCAGCCACAGCTGATCTAGCTCAATTATTCTTATACAAAAAATTAATTTAACAGAACTACAAAAGAAAAGTATCAGTTTTTCTTGTATTCTCATAGACACAGCTGATTTTGACTGAATGAAATTGTATAAGGACTTTAGTCCATCACACTACTGGTCTTCATTAAAAATACAAATACACTTATACATGTATATATATAATTTCACATGCATGATTTCATCCAATAGCTATATAAGGGTATGTTATTCAACCTTATTTAACATGTTAAATAACAAGGGCATGTTATTTAACCTCTTAAAGCCTCAGCTTCTTCAACCATAAAGTAGGATTGGTCATAAAAGTATCTCTCTCATAGGATTATTGAGAGAACTAAAAGAATCTATGTAAAGCTCTTAGTGTAGTGCCTGGCAGATATTAAATGCTTATAAAAGTTAATTATATTTGTTATCTTATTATAGCTCTCATCTATTTAATTTTAGCTATGCAGTGGTTATTGGAGGATAAATAAAAGAAGAAAAGCTGGAGATATTTGATTTTATTTAGCCATGTATCATCTATTGATTTTGATAAGGTCTTCTGGAGTCAAATATGCACTGCTCACCTGTTTGTAAAGATCATACAGTAGCTAATGCCGCTGATTTTTTAGATTACAGCATGTGTAAAAGTCATTATGGAGTCAGTGTCTGTCCTGCTCTCCCAAGACCAGTCCAGTCATTTGCTAAGATATTAAAACTAGAGATATATATTTCCTTACACTTGCTATAATGCAATTCAGCTGTGAGTACTGAAGGTACTTCCGTGACTAGTGTTTTCTTTATCTTCAGAAGATTACTGTAAGAATTCAATAAAGCCGAGCATATAACACGTTTGAAGCCTAGTGTTCAATACACAGCAAGCTCTCAATTCATATTGGCTACTATTACTACCCTCATTCTTTACAAAACACAGTTATCCTTGTGAGGGACCAAGAAGCATAATGCTACAAATAGTCAGTCCTGCAGTTCTCTATTTGTGTTAGATATATATATGTAGAAAGAATGAAAAATTGTATATTTTTCAGGTTGTTTTATAAAATACACAAACCAAGTTACTGGTCTAACAAGATGGAATTTTAAAAAACCACTCAGTACAGATCCGGCAAATCAGAAGTGGGAGAAGGGAGGCCATGTGCTGTGTGATGCTAGATGCTCACTATCCTCAGTGGGGTGAAACATACTGACATCCTCCTCCCCTGGATGTGGATACTTGAACACATATCATGGATATGCAAAACTTTTCAATGTTTAACACTACCTGATTGTGACTTTTCTCAAGAAATCCCATAAAATAAAAACATACCTCAGAGATGCATTTTCCAAATGTCATTAACTCCAAAGTTTATTCTACTCTTGTTTCCATTTACAGTAATCTTAAAATAGGGACAGTGGTCACAATAGGTGTTCAGTTAAGAACACTTTGGCCACAGGCTTTTTCTTAATTTTAATTCATAATAGAAAAACCAGGAGAATAAATATACCTTTAATAACTCTCAGATGGAATCTCAACTAATTTTTAAATTCTGATTGAACTGAAGAAAACATGGCAGAAAGTAAAACATATATTTAAGTTGTGTGAGACTCCCAAAACAGTCTGTTGCCATTGAAGAGTATCTTTAATGGTGCTATCCTTTGAATACTGTCATGTGGAATCCCTCCATTTTAGTTTATATGATGAAGTTATTATACTGAAATACTCAAAATTCTCCTTGACACATACAAAAACTTCTTTATTTTTTTTTACAAACCTCTTTAAACAAACACACCACACAAGCTCAGAATGTCAGCTATCATATCAAACATAGAGGGAAGATATATTCTCTCAAATTAGCATTCAGCTCCTTTGGGAACTGAGAATAAAACTTCCTTAACACAAAAGGAGGTGTTTCAGATGTTTCTATTTGTATACCATTGTAAATTCTCTTTATTGTATTCTCCCAGACTTATTTTTGAACATTATACATAGAACAAAGCTTCATAGAGTCCCTATACCATTTTAAAACATAGGTTATGTCTCAGGAACCATTCATTAACAGTGTTTAAAAGTGAAGCCATTATTGTAACAAGAGAAGAAAACTACAGACCAATATCTGATAAATATTGATCCAAAAATCCTGAACAAAATACTAGCAAAGTGAATTCAGCGGCGCTTTGAAAGGATTATACACTATGATTAAGTTGGATTCATACATAAAATGCAAAGATGATTCAATATATGAAAATCAAAACCATATTAACAGAATGGATGATGAAACCCACATGATTATCTCAGTTGATTCAGAAAAAGCACCTGACAAAATCCAGCACCCTTTCATGATAAAAACACTCAACAAACTAAGAGTAAAAGAAAACTCCCTCAACATAATAAAACCTCTATATGAGAAGCCCACAGCTAAAATCAGCCTCAATGGTGAAAAAGTGTAACTTTTTCATCTAAAATCAGAAACAATGCAAGGATTGTCACTCCTATTTACCTTGGTACTAGAACTAAGCCACTCCTATTTACCTTAGTACTAGAACTCCTAGGCAGAGCAATTAGAGAAGAGAAAGAAATAAGAGCAATCCAAATAGGAAAGGAAGATGTAAAACTGTCCCTGTTTGCCAATTATATGATCTTCTATGTAGAAAGCCCTAAAGATGTCATGCAAAAAACCTCCAAACTGTTAACACTAATGAACAATTTAAACAATACTGCAGGACACAAATCAGTTGTGTTACTATACATGTTGATGACCCATCCAAAAAGGAAATTAAGGAAAGAATCCCACCTATAATAGCATCAAAAATAATAAAACACTTAGGGATAAACTGACTCAACCAAGGAGGTGAAAAACTTGTACACTGAAAATTACAAAATACTGCTAAGAGAAATAAAAGAAGATGAAAATAAATGGAAAGAAATTCCATGTTCATAGACTGGAAGACTTACTACTGTTAAGATATCTATCTACCCCAAATGATCTATAGATTCAATGCAATCCCTATCAAAATCTCAATGACAATATTTGAAGATAATTAAAGAAAAAAAATCTTAAAATGTACATGGAATCTCAAGGAACCCTGACTAGCCAAAACAATCTTGAAAACAAAGAACAAAGATGGAGGCATCACATTTCCTGATTTTAAAACATACTACAAAGTAATAATGACCAAAGATAGACATACAAACCAATGGAACAGACAGCCCAGAAATAAGCTCTTCCATATATTATCAGAAGATCTTTGACAAGAGTGCCAAGACTATACAATGTGGAAAAGATGGTCTGTTAAACAAATGGTGTGGGTGTCCAGATGCAAAAGAATGAAGTTGGGCCCCAAGAGGATAGCCACTGTCAAAATAACAGAAAAGAACAAATTTTCAATGAGGATGTGAAGAAATTAAAACTCTTGTGCACTACAGGTTGGAATGTAAAATGGTGTAGCCATTATGGAAAACAGTATGGAGGGTGCCTCAAAAAATTAGAAATAGAATAACAATATGATCCAGCAACCCCAATTCTGGGTATTTATCCCAAAGAATTCAAAGCATGATCTCAAACAGGTATGTGCACACCAATGTAAACTGCAGTGTCATTTATAATGGCAAGAAGCGGAACCAACCCAGATGTCCACTGATGGATGAATGGAAAAATAAAACATGGCATATACATAAAGTGGGATCTCATACAGCTTTAAAAAAGCCTTAAAAAAGAAGGAAATCCTGTCACATCTACAATATGGATGGCCCCTGGGGACATTTACACTAGATGAAACGTCAGTCACAAAACACAAATACTGTAAGATTCCACCCATATGAATTATTTAAATAATCAAAATCACAGAATCAGAAAGCAGAGAGGTGGTTGCTAAGGGCTATAGGGAGGGGAAAGAGATAATTAGATTTAAAAAATTTTAAAACTTCATCTTGGAAGTATCAGTTTTCCAAGATGAAGAAGCTTTGAGAGCTCTATAACAGTGTGACTATCCACTTAGAAAATGGAAGATGGTAACTTAAGTGAAGGACAGGGAAGACTGCACACTGCAGTCAGTGGGGTTGCGAAGAGTTGTACATGACTTAGCGACTGAACAACAACATTTAATGTTAGGGCTTTTTACTATAATAAAGTAAGTTAATCATAATACAGGCCAAATTTTATCACCCACACACAAGTTGAGATCTTAAATTCTGCAACAAATAACAAATGGCTAGCACAGATTATTTGA